GAATTACAATATTTCGTAAAGCACTATGGTAATCTGAATTAAATATTGATACTGTAATTGAAAAAAATTGCAAAGGGCTTTTTTTACTAGTTGAGGAAAATCATGATTAAGAAAGAACACATGAAGTTATGACAACGCTATCGCTCGCAATGGCGTCGAAAAATTATATTATGGAATTATACTACGAGCGGAAATTAAATTAAAACTGCTAAATTAGCTGCTTGACTCTATAGTTCCCGAAGCGATAATATCTTCCTTATGGGAAACCTTGAGCTCTTTGCCGACGATTAAACTAATAAGTCCAGCATGGGAGTTCGAAAAAGGTTTGGTACCAGGTACCTCAATTTCTATACCCAATTGAGTAAAGGATGCATTTGGAAGACCCACAATTTCGATAAAGTAATTGTCGGGATCATTTTCTTTGATACCTTCCGAAAATTGTCCAGAAGCCGTTATAGTAGTTTCATCAGATTGAGTGAATGTAATGTCGCCGCCAAGTTGTTTCTTTAAATCGACGACTGCTTTGTCACCGGTTTTACGACGTAGTGGAGTCGCGTTGAGACATAACGCGAGTAGAGAAAAGGCTACAAAAGCAGCGAAGAGTGTACGTTTTAATAACATTATTGATTTATTTGTGATTTTGAGGAAGTAAAATGTCTGCCCTTTTATACTTATAATTATTTATTAACTCGGTATTTACAGTTTCATGTTCGATAATTACCTCGTTCACCTTTCATAGAAATTTAACTTAAAAGTTGAACATCTGAAATTCAGGAATTTGATCGACTTTGTTCTAATTATCGGAACCGTTTATCTCGGTAGAAACGGAAATTTTATTGATTTTCCCATACGCGTTTGCAGATTGCATTTACCTACGTAATTTTCTATCAGCGATTTAGGAGCCTTGTACTGGAGATCTTGCCAGAACGTGCAAATGATCCCCGCGTTAAGTTGCCGACGTTTTCGCGTGAACCTTTCGTTATTATGCCCACACAACTAAAAACACGTTTCTTTTCGTTTTGAAACACGGATAATACAGTATATCCGTATCGCCCATATTATCAAATTAAATTACTAATTAATATTATTATAGATTATTAATTAATCTTTTTGGTTGATTTTAAGCAAATTGAAAATTTTAAATTTATTTATGAAGCATAAGCATAGATTAAAAATTTTAAATAATTTTTATTTCAATATTTAATTATTCGATTATCCTTAAAGCATTTTCTTTTTTAATTTTGAACAATTTTTTTTTGGTTTAATTCGTAGCTTGTTTTTATTGAATAGTAAAAAAACAATCAAATATTACAATTGTTAGAAATGTATTAAAATAAAATAAAGTATTGCAAGTTAAAAAAAAAAATCAAATAAATAAATAAATAAAACAGTTTGCAGATATATAATGTTTATATAAATTTTTTGATTAATTAAGTTCTATTACTATTCTTAAAACAACTTAGAGTTTTTTAAAAAATATTTATTATTACTTTTCTTTTGTTTAATCAAAAATTTAATTTTTGATAGTCAAAAAAAAATCAAATTATACATTTATTCTAATATCAAGAAAGTTTTTTTAAAAAAAGAATTGACTATAAAATTTAAATATCTTTTTACTTTTAAAATGAAATATTATAAAAGATTTTTATAATTTAAAAATTAAAGTATTTTAGTCAAATTTATATTAAATTAATGAAATAAAGTAAAATTATTTTTAAAAATACAATTTCTAAAGAAAAAATTCAAAAAACAATATTTTTAATAAAAAGTAATCAAAAATAAATTTATTTAAAATTTCTTTAAATAATATTATATAATGTTTTATAAAAAATATAGTTTACTTAGAAACTTAATTTATTTATAAATAAAAAAAAAGGATAGTTTCTTTAGTTCTTATTTAAGAAAAAACATTTAATTTTTTAAAATTGCTTTTATAAATTTATTATACTTTTGAACAAATTAATATTACTTATTCAATATATTTATAAAAATAAGTTACTTAAGCTACTTGAACTATTTAAATCTTTTAGATTTTTTAAATCTTTAGAATTTTTCAATTTTTTTTTTTTTTTTTTTTTTTTTTTTTTTTTTTTTTTAAACTGCAACTTATATTAGATACAAGTACTTTTATTAAGGATTAATTTAATATCTAAATAATAAAATTCTAGATATAACATTAATTATCTCATATAAATTATATATTTCCATATATATATAAATTAATAATAATCTATCACAGTTTATCCTAGGTGAACCTACTATCACTCTGTAAATGGAACAAATCTAGCTAAAGGTTGAATAGTTAATATGTAGTCATCGACAATAAAACATGCTAATTTAATATTGAGCTATTATAAATTTTTATATTATATTCACTAAACTAGTCTGTATAGTATATATCTAACAGAATTTAATTTTATTCACCAATACTTTCAGATATTATTCGTTCAGACCTCAGAAAGAGGCACTTTACTTTCTTTGTTATCACTTTAGTATTAGATTAGTTCTATTTAACTGATTTTTATTTAAGTGAAGCACTATATTGGAATATTCTGAGCTAGAAGAGTAAGAATTCTGGAGACTGTCAGAGCAAAGAATCTGTGAAATGTTTATGGTAAATTAAATTAGAAGCTTTTCTTTATGCAATCTTTCTAGTAATATAACCATAGATTTTAACTTCTGATTAATAAAAGGTCAAAAGTTTCATCTTCATATAACCTAATCTGATTAAAACTTATTTTAGATAATTGGGTACAATTTTCACAGGATAACCAATAAACCCGATAAAAAAAATAAATTTTTTTTGATTTTTGGTCCCTAAATAATATTGAACTACAGACCTTATAATTATAATCTGGGAGCATTACTACTGTGCTATAAATCCACAGATCATAATTAATATTATTATTTATATAATAGTAATATTCATATATAATAATATTGTAACAAAAAGCAATCAAGCAATACCTTTGATATCAACAGCAAGAAAGTTCGCAAAGGAAGAAGAACTGACTGTGAAGTATTTGAAGGCTTATTTAACCTTTGAAGTAAGAGGCATATAAAGGTTTTTGATAACAAAAGGGCTTATTTTTTCCCTTCCAGTTACTTGTGGGCCTCTTAGAGCTATCGCTTTCATGGTTTTCTAGAGAATTTTGCCTACTTCAATTTGACCTTGAATTTTTGGTAGCACAAATCCTTATTAAAGATAATTGGCTAACACAAAAAACGTCAGTTTTTAGAATATAAACAAGCTCCTATTAGTTATACTCATGTGTCTTGATATATTATTGGTGATATAGGAAAGAAAGTTTTAAAAAAAGTGTTCACTCCAATCGTATATATTCAATCTTCAAGAAACAATTATGATATCAAAAGGCGAGCGACAGGTACAAAAAGAAAATTCAACTCCTATCTCTCATTAAGTTCCTCAGGTAATGAAAAGGCTTTCTTGAACAAAAGTTGAAATTTTCAAACTTCTATCCTAGTCAGACAAAGTTCTTAAAAAGATTTCTTTATTCCAGTCAGGCAAACTTTTCTGTAATATGGCACTGGCCTCACTAGCAATAAGCAAATTCATATATTGGAAGAAAAATAAATTCCTTAAACATTTTTCTTAAAGTCACTTTCAGGAATAACTAAGTTTCTCAAATGTCATGAAGTTTAGAGAATATCCCAATCAGACAAACCCTTTTCGAAAGGAAACTGTGAAATAGAGTGAGAATCTTTTGGTGAGCTTTGATTTGTATTCCCTCTTCCCTTTTTCCCAGTGTCAACTTTAGCAATTCATTGTTTTTCAGAATAATCTATAGTGACAAACTGTTGACGATGACCCTGGTTGACTTAGAGGTACTTTTGACAAGCTACTAGAAGAGTAAAATATTGTCCCCTAAATCTGACTTAAAGTACCTAATTTAGACTTGGTTTTGTTTAGTCCGAACTAGCTTAGTAGACTCCTCATATTTTTTAAGTAGTGTAGTCCTTTAACTAATAATGTACAATAATGAGTTAGTTACTTTGTGAAAGTTTGTTAAATATTTAGGTATTTCTCAATATCTCAATAAAAACATGCCATTGCGGCATAATTGCGGGTTAAAAAAAAAATAAAAAAAAAATAATAATAATAATATTATTATTATAGCAGAAAGTAAAAGTATATAAATATAGATAATAATAAATTTTTAAAGTATTTAACATATAAAATTTTATGAATTACTTATGTTTCTTTTTAAAAAAACAAAATTTATAACTAACTCTTTATTTTAATAGAAATAAAATTCAAGAAATATTATAATCAAAGGTTTTGATAATAAAAACTATTTTAAATAGTTTTTTACAATTATTAATTTAAAAATTTGAATTTTTTTTAGTAAAAAACATTTAATTTTTATTTTTGTTTCTTTATTAAATTCTATTTTTAATTATACTTAATATTATATATAGTAAAGTATATATGACTCTTTCCACTGATCCTCTGATCACATATAAAAAAGAAGTTCACAAGAGGTTTTATACTTCTAGGCTAACAAAGTCTTATCACTTTCCTTAAACCAACTTGAGAACAAGGTTCCCAAGAGTCACCCCACCACCCCATTACCTCTTTTTTATATCTTGCTACAAAAAACTTGTCTTCTAGTGGCCAGAAAGACAACTCTACTCTTTTTACCAATGGCAAGAAAGTTCTGAAAGGAAGTAGACCTGATTTCTCCATCTTCTTCTCATCTACCTCAGAAACACCACAGAGTCCAATTTGTGATGAGAGACTCTTTAGAAGATAACCCCACCACTCTCTTATCATTGTATTGGCTCTAATAGTGCTCTTTCACGATTTTCTCTGGGGGATTTTGCCTACTTCAGTTTGACCCTGAATTTTGAGTAACACAAGGTTTCTGGTGTTGTGATTGGACAATGGAAACACGTCAGTGATCCAAGATGTAAACAAGCTTCTATTGACCACTTCACGTGTCTGAATGCATTTCCTCAGTTCCCATAAGAACCTGGGGTTCACCATAAGTTACATGCCAGTCGTACGGGTAGATACAGGATACAGTATCCAACACATCTCAGGAAACAGGAAAGAGTCCATCCAACCATGGAAAAGGTCACAGACACTTCAATCGTTTTTGAAATTGAAGTCACCTACTCTTGGCAGTCAAGTAGGTTCCCTTCGCTCTCACAGATAGGTAAAGATCTGTTCTTTTTCTTATAAAAACAAACAAGG